TTTTTTTYTCGTGAATATTTGAGCGCATTTTATTTTATAAAAACAATARAAAAYAGTTTTCCGTGTATTATACTCTGACAAAAACACTTGGGATGTGGAGAGAACACTCGAGAAGCTGGAATTCGCGTTGTGGTTTCCTACGCTTCTCTCKYGTTATCCCCACATCCCGCGTGTTTTTATCAGAGTATAATACACGGAMAACTGTTTTTTATTCCTTAATTGATTGTATTTCATTTTTTATTGGATTCTACTAACTCTGGATGGAGATGTACATTAATATACATGTATATGTATGGCATATGCCTACATGCCAACAGCTGACTGGGTTGATATACATTGCATAACAATATTAAGTCACAGTCTGACTATTTGAGAGTTTTGAGTTGATGACTAGACAAAGTTGTATTAAAGGCGTGATGAAGCAGGTCCTTGTAAGATAAGCTTAGCCATCTTTACTAATTTTATTAACTTAACACAATCACTTAATTCATTTTATTTACTCCTAAAGAACATAAATTCAAATTAGAGCTCTGATTTTAGGAAGTGTTTAATACATTTTGACACATCATGCACAAGTTCTTACCAGCAGCACAGAGGAAACTTGCTTTCTTCTTTTTGCCTGCTTTGGTAACATTTACTACTGCGTACAGTCGTTCTCCGCTTGGCTTAAACACTTCCTTTTGTAAATTGTGCTTTATTGCTGCCATTATAACTTTGTTAGGCAAGAAACTAACAAATTTGTCTGCATTCCTTCTACGGGCAATCGTCCGCCATCTTCGCCCACAAGATTGCAAGCACAGGAAGCCCAAGCGATAAAGTCGAATCACTAGCCTGTCATCCTGTCATCACATCGATCGCAACATTACATGGAAGCCGAAGGGCTGCCAAGCAAAACTATAACATGAATTTAAAATTGTAACAAAATCAAAATCCGAGTATCTTGTTAACTTACCTTCACGATAAAGATGGAATCAAGCGATGATTTAAAAATGTCGAGCTTGGGAGAAAGCAATTTGGGAGACGAGAATTCGACCGAAGGTTTTGATGACAATGAAAATGGATTCGATGAAAAGTCTTCCTTGGTTACTCAAGGGGACTCGGACTTCGAAAAGGCATCCAGAAATACCAAAACTAAAGACATGGACCGAAGTCTTTACATGGAAAATACCGTCTCGTAAGTACTTCTGTATTTTTGAAGTTTTTATTCAAGAATAGAATTGAAAAAATATATTTATCGGCAACGGCCGCTTTGCTAAGTGGGCGTAATGCAAATAATATTCCTAACAGACATTTGAATTTTGCTCGTCCGTAAAAACTGCTCTCATTAGCTTCCAGCATTTTTATGTTAAGAGAAGGCATTTTTGTTCCTTATTATCAGAACAAGTGATAATACATCTGCTAAAATAAGCGGACACTTCTGGGATACTTAATACATGCTGTGTGCTGGCTTGCTCAGCATGATAATCGCTTGTCTCTACATTGTTGATGACAGACGAAATAATTGGGTTTTAACCTTTRCATATATTAATCATTTTAAAAAACTAAGATATAGCGTTGTAACTCCAGAACAGATATATCCTATTTGCATACAGCTGTATATACATTTTCCATTTTGTTTATAAATACTGCGATCTTTTTACGTGGCCCAGATCATCACGGCGGAGCACTGAAACAATTATTATTATGATCATCATTTATTTCAAATATATGTACACCAAACAAAAATTAATATAATTTAATTAGAAGGAAAAAAAAATAAGAGAAATTATATTAGAAAGTAGTAGAAGAATTCTAGAAGAAGAATTCTGAATTTGTGCCACCAGATACATATATAGAGGATATTACATGGGCGCGCAGAGATACGGATTTTATCTTCGAGTGTTGAAAAGATCTCTCACAAGTGAGGGAACATGTAATATTCTATTTATCATATAATTTCATATGAAAACAAAATATGTCGTAAAATACCTTTTTTTCTTACTTGCATTATTTAGCGAAACCTCGAATGTGTTATTTTCACTAGTGAAAATATCAATTTTACGAAATGGAGAAATATAGGTATTTCATAGATAATTATATGATATAATCCTTTTTACTTACAAGTAAGTACAAATGTATTTCTTTAATATGGTAGCATTTGTAATTTCTCTTATTTTTTTTCCTTCGAATTAAATTATATTAATTTTTATTTGGCGTATATTTRACATAAATGATCATAATAATAATTGTTTTAGTGTAATAAATAACAATATAATTATTATAGGTGGATGTCAGCTGCAACGCATATCATCAAGGCCAACTTAGGCATGGGAATGCTAGGGATGCCATTTGCTGTCATGAATGCAGGGCTTGTGGTAAGAAATCTCAAATACCATTCATTCCTCGTCAGTGTTTTTAATTCACCATATTAGTATAGCAATAAATCATTCACTTTTTATTTAACAATGAATCCAAAATGTCTCAAATATGCAGGTTGGTCCACTTTTGATTTTGGGTACCGGCATTGTAGTTATCCACTGTATGCATTTATTGGTGCAAAGCAGTCACTTGTTCTGTGACAGGTTAGTTATGAAATGAAAGATTGCACCTGAAAGATTGCACTTTGAGCAAATATTAATCATCGTCTTTTATTTCTTCATTGTCAGAAGTAAAAATATGTCGCTTGGCTATGCCGAAGTGGCAGAAATGGCTGTTGGCCTATACTACCCGTCAATGAAGTCATGGGGAAGGTAAAAAAATTGTTATTCATTCAACACRTAAAGTATTGATTATAATATTAGTAAGTATGATATAATATTGAGTATTGAGAAAATGTTCAATGCTTCATCTTATAGGACACTGGTGAACATTTTTCTTGTCATCACCCAGCTTGGGTTTTGCTGTATTTATTTGATCTTTGTAGCTGAAACATTTCACCAGGTATTGTTACTGTATACTTAAGTGCATGGCTAGTTAACAATAAGCAAACACCTAACAGTAATCATTATTTTTTAAACATCTTTTTGCTGTTTTATTCTGCAGATTTTACTAGAGCATGTCAATCTAGATGTCAAAGTATGGGTTGCAATCCTTTTAGTTCCCGTCATTTTGTTGTCATATATACGCACATTAAGGGTCATGGCTGTTCTTTCTGCAGTTTCCAATTTCCTGTATATTYCAGGCACTCTGTGCCTTTTAGTGTATGCTGGACATACCATTCATAGCCCTGAGAAACTGCCTTACTTTGTTGGCTTTGGCTCATTACCACTGTCATTTGGCACCATAGTGTTTGCATTTGAAGCAATTGGTGTTGTAAGTATTCTTTTATTTAGAGCRGATTTCGTATGAGTGGGAAACGGACGGTACTGTACTGTGTCTGTAATCGTACTGTAACCAAATTCTAGTGCCCCATTGTTTCACCAAAATTTTGCAGGACAGGTGCGGTAACTGTGCGGTAACGGTGTCCCACTCATACAAAATCCACTCTAAATACTAGATTTTTAAAAAGGGTAGTGATTATCGATTTTATCAAAAGTGTGATTCCTTCTTCTCCTCTCCTCTCTTCCTTTTTTTCTCTTTTCCATTTACTTTTCCATTTCATTATAAATAAATCTCTTTTCCTTTTTTTTCCAATTCTTTCATTTCTGTGCCCCTTCCTCCCTTGTGTTTAATATACCTTTTGTATATAATTAAATGATTTAAAAACTAATCCCTTTTAGATCCTGCCAGTTGAGAACATGATGGCATTGCCTCGTTACTTCTGCCATGTCATTAATGGCGCAATGAGCTTTGTCTTAATAGCATCAACACTCCTTGGGACACTGGGATATCTGTCCTGTGGTGAACACTGTTTTGGCAGTTTTACATTAAACCTACCAAACACAGTGTAAGTCAAGAAAATGAAAATCTATCTACTCAGAAGAAGAATATTTCTGCAAAAAATTGTGAAGGATGAATAGTCGTGTTATACACTAAAAACCATTAAAAATCTTTACTGTTAATAACTTAATCCACTGTATAACTTTGTCCAGTCTTCATACCTCTGCCCACAGGTATTGAAATATCATGATACTCCCTTTTCATGTTGCGCCACTTCTCTAAATTTTTAAAACTAAATTAAAATGCACCTTTAGCTAGGCCAGGCACTTTATTTAGAGTACACATTTTTACCAAACCATGAATTATTTTGATGATATTATAATATATTATAATCAGTATATATACAGCAATATGCAGAAATTCTGACCACTTTGACTCATAWTCCAACTATATATAAAATATATCAGAAATTATGGGATATCATCGCTGATATTTTTTTCAGATACTACTGATCCTAGGCAACTTCAAAAAAATATCAGTGACCATATCCCATAATTTCTGATATATTTTATATATAGTTGAAATATGAGTCAGAGTGGTCAGAATTTCTGCATATTGCTGTAAATTATTATTGATAAATAGCAAAGAATATCAATTATTTTTGAACAGATTTGGAGATGTTGTCAAGCTCATGTTTGCAGTGGCTATTATCTTTACATATTTCATCCAATTCTATGTCCCTGTAAACATAATTATACCACCTCTTAAAGCAAAGGTTGCAGAAAAATTTCACAACTATATGGAGTATGGCATTCGAACACTAATGGTGTGCTGCACAGGTGAGTTGATTTCTGTAGAAAATCTAAATATTAAATTATTCTTTCCGATGACTTGTCAATGCTGTTACAGCGGAAATAGTTGCATCGCGACCTCTTTGTTTCGAAGTTTCGTCTGGATTTTGTTCTTTCTTTCAATCTGAGGGGTGGAGCTTTTCGAAGAACTCGTTCAATCATTGGCTGATTAGTATCAAGCTCCTCCCCCAAGTCRCAGAAAAWCCTAAATCCCAACCATTTTCTTTGAACATCGAAGTCGCGATGCAACGGTTTCTGCTGTAATAAAACAAAATAGTGTCACAGTACCATGAAGGCTATCTCACTTCAAGAAATGCTTATTATGTAACTATGTTACATTTAATATTGTTAAGAATGTTATGGTCCCACATGGATGTGGATCCCATTCATTGGTCGTATAAAAATTGCTTCTGCTTGATATTAAATATTGTATTCAAAATCTAACAAGTGGAGGAAAATTATATTAAGTAAGTTGTATAAGAGAGAKTCGAGTGGGATTTATTCACTAGATATTTTCAACAGATAAGAGTTATCCAGGCACTCGATCTTTTGTATCATTTAGTATCATCAGATTTAGTGCATTCACTCTACACAATTTATAATATAATTAAAATACTGTTATTGGGAATCTAAYATTGATGATGATCAACATATATTATTGTCCTCTCTTTCTATATTACAGCAATTCTAGCAGTTGGCATTCCTCAGCTTGGTCACATGATCTCCCTTGTTGGTTCATTTGGAAGCATATCATTATCGATCACATTCCCAGCACTTATTAACTTGGCAGCTCTCCATCATGAGCAAAAAATTAGCAAGATTCTTCTTGTCAAGAACATAATAATCATTGTGTTTGGTGTCCTGGGAACATTGACTGGGGTTTTTGTATCCATTGTTGACATTGTTTGGACATTTCAACATGGAGGSGAACATATTGCTCACCATAGACACCTTGCTAACTCAACACGTTCATTTTAAGGAAGTGATTCTAAATTTCATTGAGTTCTTTTTATCATGACCATTCTCTACCTCTGCCTACATGTACATATTGAAGTGATTATAAGTGTTTGGGGTTTATTAATTTTCACAATAAGGTTATTATAAAAAGGAAAATCAATGATGTAGTAGAGCACAATGTGCAAACATATAAAAACCTATTAACACTACAAAGCACCAATAAGACAGTAGAATTGATATCAACAATATTATAATTTATAATTTCAGCTTTGATTACTATTCATTCATGGGTTTGAGCATAAAAAATACTATTTAATATTTATGAATGAAATGCAACTTTTGTTGTTTATGTGCACATTTACTGCAACATATTAATTAGAAATAATGGAGCCTCCAGTTAAAGACATGAAAAAATATACTATCTGAAACTACCTTGTCTCGCCATATTATTTTTTTATTCATGATAACAAATGTCTTATCCACATTTCAAATCAATTCATTTTATTACATGACAATTTATGTACTAATTATCCATGAATTTCATACTTGCAATTTGCATTATTGTGAGATTGAATTATAACTACCAGAATACTTTCTTTTGTAATGTAATTATAGCGTCCAAATTGTTTTACTAATCTCCAAAAAGATTCAAAATCTGAAGAACAAAGAAAATATGCAAGGGTTCTTGGTAGTTGTAATAAAACACTATCATACAACTGCATATTATTGTTAGACATTTAAGTATTTTTCTCTTAATGATGACAGTTAAACTGTCTAAAGCAATTATTATTAATAACTGTTWAATTATACACCTACTTGTGGGAACGTTTGTCATATAGAAAGTACTACTAGCAAGGACATTAAATTATTTGAACTTAGTAAGGAATAAATTAAAAAGACAAAAGAAGATCACTGAAGCTGAATGCTCTTTTTTGTCTTTTCTGTTTTAATTTATTCCTTTTTACTAAATTCAAATGTTCTATTTTATGGGTATAGAATGGTGTCTCAGAAATTGCGAGGCTCGTTACAAATTGCCCAAGGCTTGCAACCTCGGTGCCTAAATGAAAGGCGCTTGGATTTGAAATTGCTTTTGGCTTGGAAGCTCGCAATTGCCGAAATATCTTTGATTTTAAAACGAGGAGCTCGCAGGCTCGAATTTTACCATTTGATACCCCTTATTTTCTATGACAAACGTTTCTGCAAGTAGTTGCACTGTATACAAATTTTTATGGTCAGGATTAAATGATAATAAAAATACGGCAACAAAAGACCTAAAAATCAATTATTAGCATTGTTTTTATTGAATTTTTTAACTTGATTGCAATATTTTATTACATTTTTCTCTGGTGTATTTTAATAATTTATTTCTCATAACTAAAGACTTTATTTCGTGGATGTTTTAAGAACTATAAGTCTACCCACAGAGAYATCTTCCTCAAACCAAGAGGATGGCCTAGGAACATTATAATTGAATCCAATTCTTTTCATYGACTAAACTTTTTTTCACTCCAATGTCCATAATTTGTCCATCTGATATTGCAGATTTTATAAAAAAATAAATCATTTATGTTTTGTAATTATAACAAAATAATGGCTCTCACCATACATATTGCTCTATGACTTCTATGAATTCTATGACTTCTGTGCCTTGAATTTCTTAGCAAGAACTGTATTTTCTTCTTTCATTTGTTTGTAGTCTGCTGTAATTCTTTCTAGGTTCATAGCAGTGTTCTTTTGTGTCTCATTATCAATCTACAAATTAAAAACACCAGAATTTATTACTATTATCTGTCAAAATAGAGGTAGTTAAGATAGGGAAATATGCAATTTATTAGTACAATGTTGGATTATGATGAATTATAAATAAAGCATGATGRTAAAAGGAATACCATTTATTAAGAAACTCTGATAATTACCTGCTCTTCAAGATCTCTAATCTCTCTCATTATTACACCAGTATCTTCAACTGATTGGATAAGTTCTTTACAATTCTGTCATTTATGGAGATAATTCAAATATAATTTATATTTCTTTTGAAAAAGATTGACATTAGCAGACTTCAACTGACAGAGGGTGCGTCTTGTACATGTAGGTGTGCACAGAAGAGAAAAATAAAAGGTTTATTTTTTGGGACAGGAAGGGGGGGAGGGGAGGGGAGCCTTCTTCTTTTTTCAAAAAGACTTTATCTAGTACAAATCAACCTTTTTTTGCTTTTCTATTTATATGGTGCACTCTTTTTGATATGAGATACTAGACTAAAGGGATTAGGAAACAGGATAAAGAACTGAAATCAACCCAACTCAGCAACCCCATTTTAAATCAGGGAACCCAAAAAAAAGCCAATTTGAAGCTGCTTGCAGAGATGGTTATCATTGACTTACCTCATGTAGACTTGCTAGATATTTGTATGCTTTCCTGCATGCATCATCCTTTTTTGCATTCTATTAAAATGAAAAGATTATTTAAATTCGAAAATTCCTGAAAACATGCTATCAAAACTGTACTGAAAATCGAGGTAGGAGTAA